AAATTTTTATGACATTTTAATAAGAAAATATGATTTAATCTAGGTGCTTCAGTACGAGTATACACCCAGTGGGCAAGGGACGTAAAAAAGACGTCTTTCAAACATCTTTTGAACGTTTTAAAAGTCTTTCGAACATTCAAAAAACGTCTTTTTTTTGGTCCTGTGCACACTGGGCAAAGTTATGATTAGAATTGCTTAAGTCAGCCATCTTGCGTTTTTCAGTGGTCTAAATTTTCTTTAAAAAAATTATCCCAAGGAATGAATATACAAGTAAGAATATCAAAGAGTTTGTCTAAAATTAAACCTTGATACTCTTTAGTTTTAGATTTGTTTTTGTTTTTTTTTATTTTTTAGGTGCCCCAAGAAGACCTAACGGTCTTGTAACAGAGCACCGTGGAAGTGCATTTTAACCAGAAAGTTTACAAGAAGGAAACAGAAGTTATATTTAAAAACCAAGAAAAAACAGTAATTGCTATAGTTAGTGCGAACACAAAAATATTCAACGAAAGATTGGATAAATTTGAAACAAATATCATTGCAAATGCAAATAAGATTAAAAAAATTGAAAAAGAGCTTGAAAAGATAAAGGAAAGTTTAAACTTCAACGAACACGTAATCGATAAAAAGATTGAAAATAAATAAAAAAATTATTAAACAAAATCGATAACAAACAATTAGAGAAAGAGAAACACTGTTGTAAAAAATGACCAAAAACTACTTTGAGCTGACCCGAGAAAACCGCTTTGACAGGGTGAAACTACAATGTTTCCTGACTCCAAAAATGTAAAATTTGAAATCTAACTATTTCGTCCAAGAAAATAATTTTGATTTTTAGTTTTTAGTACTTTGCACAATAGGGCGAAATGACAGCTTTTCAAATTTTGCATTTTTACAGCATTCAAAAACTCTTCAAAATAAGCATTTATTACTCCAAAACATAACAGTCTATATAGCAAGTATAATTTGTATTTATTTTAACTCAGAAGATAAAATTTTACCTACAATTTCATGGTTGAACTATATTATAAACATTTTGTTGCATCAAAATTGTAAACAAGCTAAAATTCCGGGAATAGGCAGTGAACATGTTTATTTTAAGTTTTGCATCAAAATTGTAAACAAGCCGAAAATTCCGGGAATAGGCAGTGAACATGTTTGTTTTAAGTTTTGCATCAAAATTGTAAACAAGCTAAAAATTCCGGGAATTGGCAGTGAACATGTTTATTTAAAGTGTTTCACTTATCAGTTGTGTGAGAAAAATTTCAAAATGCCAAATTTTTCAAAAAATCCTGAAGATTGTCGGAAATCTGTCTGTGTCTTGTGTCTGAAGAAGTGCTCTCGAGAGTTGACACAGTTCCTTGTTGAAAAGATCCTCAAGCATTACCATACAAGTCTTGATTTGACTGATACCAGAGTGCCAAGAGGCATTTGTGACTCATGTTGAACAATTCTTCGGAGAAAAGATGAAGGAAAAGATGTTAACCTGCCACCTTTGTTTCCTTTCTCATCTATAAAAGTTAGACCACCAACAAGAGATCAAGTTTGCAACTGTATTATTTGTCAAGTTGGACATTTGAAGTTGAATGAGAAGAGCCCAGTGGACTATTCTAAACCTGTGGAAGATTGTACCCCTCAAAGATGTGGTGATTGTTTGAGTCTAGTTGGAAGAGGTCTGCCACATCAGTGCACTCCATTCACTTTTAGAGAGAATCTCAAGCAGCTAGCTACAGCTGATCCACTCGCTGCAGAGCAAATAGCTACTCAAGTCATCTCTACTAAACCTTCCACACCTGATGGTACTTTCAAAATATCGCATCCTAAAGGCGGCCCACCACTTAGAGTTAAAACAGGTGATACTTATATATATACATATAAAGATGGCAGGTTCAGAGGGAATACCTTTAATTTTAAAACTTAAAATTACAAAAAGTGTTAATATAATTTCATTTTTAGCAAGCTCAAGTTTACTCAAACCAGCATCCAAGTTTTATCAGAGAGTAACTCCACTGACTTTGTGGTTGTGCATTGCAAGGATCTTGCCGAGCTTTTGAATGAAGTCCTGCTTTCTCGAAGAGTTTTCCAGAACCATATTGTCAAATTGGGAATTGATGGAGGTGGAGGATTTCTGAAAGAAAAGAGGCAGATCTTGTCTTTAATCAAGTTAGACAAAGTCAACTTTGTTGTCTCATGTGACATAAAACTTGCCAACATCCTTTGTGGCCTTCAGAGCCATGCAAGTACTCACCCTTGCTCTTGGTGCAACACAGAATTAAAGCATCTTTCTAAATCAAGATCTTTGAGGATACTAGGCTCACTTGTTGCCTGTTATCAAGAGTTTGCTAAGTCTGGTGGTGATATCAAAAAGGCAAAATCATTTGGCAATGTAGTGCATGAGCCTTTGCTATCTGGTTCTGAAAACAAACTCATCTTGGAGCTTATACCACCAATGGAACTCCATCTTTTCCTTGGTGTGGTCAATCACATGTACAAAGCCATGACAGAAGTTTAGCCCAATGTTGTCAAGTGGCCCTCGGCTCTCCACATTCAACAAGAACCAGACCATGGTGGGCAGTTTGCAGGGAATGCCTGTCACAAGCTTCTCAGCAACCTTGACCTCCTTCAAAGAATTGCAGAGACTGAGTCTGCTTTTCAAGTCTTTGGAATCATTGATGCCCTTCGAAAGTTTAAGTCTGTGGTGACAGCATGTTTTGGTATGGTTTTGGAGGATAACTTTTCTGAAAAAATTGATCGCTTCAGAGACTCATGTTTGGCAATCATGAACATCAGTGTGACTCCAAAAGTTCATGCTGTTTTCTTCCATGTGAAGCAATTCATTGAGATCAAAAGGGCTCCCTTGGGGATCTTTAGTGAGCAGGCAACAGAATCAATGCATCATAATTTCAGCTCACAGAGATACAAAAGAGACCGCAATCATCCTGAGTATGCAAAGAGGCTTCATTCATGTGTTGTGGACTACAACAGCAAGCATTTGTGAAGAACCAAATATTGAGAAGAATTTATTTTATATACCATTTGCTCTTTATGTGTTTAGAATCAAGAGGTTGTTTTTGTGTTTTGGCTTAGAATAACTAAAAGAATTATTTAAGAAAGTGTTTATTATTTCCATCTTGTTAATGAAAAACTATATCAGTTGTGTCAGAATAAACTATTATTCAAGTGAATTTTAGACAGTTATGTTTTGGAGTAATAAATGCTTATTTTGAAGAGTTTTTGAATGATGTAAAAATGCAAAATTTGAAAAGCTGTCATTTCGCCCTATTGTGCAAAGTACTAAAAACTAAAAATCAAAATTATTTTCTCGGACGAAATAGTTAGATTTCAAATTTTACTTTTTTGGAGTCAGGAAACATTGTAGTTTCACCCTGTCAAAGCGGTTTTCTCGGGTCAGCTCAAAGTAGTTTTTGGTCATTTTTTACAACAGTGGAAAATTAACAATGATTTTTTAAACGGAAAAATCCGTAACATCGAAGATAGATCGCGAAGAGGTAACATATTCACATATTCCATCAAGAATTGATGGAATATGTGAAGACGAAATCGAATCTTGGGAAGAAACCGAAGAAAAAGTTCATTTATTTTTCCTACAAAAGCTAGGTTTAAAGGACATTAAAATTGAACGTGCACATCGTACTGGGCAAAAAAAAGTTGGACATCCGAGGGTTAATAGTTTTAAAACTTCAAAAATACAAAGACAAAGCTAAAATTTTAAATGCATCAACTCGTCTCAGAGGAACAAACATTTAAGTAAATGAAGACTTTTCTCGCGAAACGGTTGCAATCAGAAGAAAATTGTTTGGAGAAGTAAAAGAACGACGTTTAAATGGTGAAAATGTTTCGGTTCGTCACGATAAAATTATTTCTTTTAAAAATATTATTTTTAAAAACGCTCTAAACAAATAGTCGAATTACGCATTCTTAAAAAAAAACCTTAGTTAACCTAATTTTAATAACTATGGGTTTATTGAATGATTTTGAATCCATTACTTTTAATTTTTTCGAACAAAACCGCTTTTCCTCTGATGAAAACATAGATCCAGATAATAATTTTTTTTGCGATACATTTACTGATTGGGTTTATTTTTATCCTAAAGAATTACAAGGTTTTCTTTTTCAGAATGCAATTAAAAGAAGTTCAAATCGAATTAGAATTCTCCACCTCAATGTAAGAAACATTATTCTAAGCTGTTGTTATCGACCACTTGACGGCGCGAGCGAAAACCTAAGCATGTTTTTACAACATATTGTGGAAACAAGTGACGCAGAAAAAAAAAAGTTTTGTAATTGGGGACTTTAATATGAATTGTTTTCTTTTCAGGACCATAAAGTTAAAAATTTTTATGACACAATTTTTGAAACAGGATCTATACCCTTAATTAATCGCCCCACTAGGGTAACAATAAACTCTGCTACCCCAATAGATAATATCATTACAACAGACATCTTTAATAAAGGTATTCAAAAAGGTATCATAAAAACTGATATATCCGATCATTTTCCTATATTCCTAATTTTAAAATCAAATTTAGAAAAAAATATTAACACCCCAATAGTTGTAAAAAAACGTATTTTCAAACAAAAACATCTTGAACAATTTAAAGATCAGCTATCTTTACTTCATTGGAATCATATTGATTTTAATGACAATGCAAATAACATCTACGAAACATTTTATAAAACATTGTTTTCTGTTTACAACGCTAATTTTCCAGTTGTTGAAAAAATAATAAAACTAAATAAAAGCTCAAAAAGTCCCTGGATTACAAAGGGATGAAAAAAATTGTCAAAAATTAAACAAAAGTTCAAAAGTTATATATTAAATATCTAAAAACAAAAACACCTGTTAGCGAAAAAAGAACATCAGTTTATACGATCCAAGAGCCATATCTCATGAATTTAATAAATTTTTTATTGGGATAGGTCCTTCTCTATCAAATAAGATTCCAAATACGACGACTTCTTTTAATGATTTTCTCGTACTTATGGATAATTGCATTTGTTCCGATGAGTTAACCTCAGAATTATCTTTTAAGGAATTTGAAGTAGCTTTGAATTCCTTGAAAAGAAACAAAGCAATAGGAGCAGATGAAATTAATGGAAATGTAATTATAGACTGTTTCGATATTTTAAAACATGTTCTTTTTAAAGTTTTTAAAGCTTCTATTAACCAAGAAATATTTCCAGAACAATTAAAAGTTGCTAAAATTACTCCTATTTTTAAAGAGGGCGACAGATCGAATATTAGCAACTATCGTTCCATCTCTGTTCTTTCGGTATTTTCAAAAATTTTAGAAAGAATAATGTCTAACAGAGTATACAAACATCTCAACAAAAATGACTTACTATATAACTAACAATTCGGCTTCAAAAAAGGTAACTCAACGGAGCATGCAATAACCCAGTTTGTGCATGAAATCTCGAAGTCTTTTGAAAAATCACAGTACCTGTTAGGTATCTTCATTGACTTATCAAAAGCTTTTGACACTGTAGATCACTATATTTTACTGCAAAAACTTAAATATTATGGAATTAAAGGTACTGCTTTAAAATGGTTTAGAAGCTATTTAAAAAAAAGAAAACAATTTGTAATTAGTAACGTTGGTTATCAAAATAATTATCTTGAAATCGTATGCAGTATTCCTCAAGGCTCAATCCTCGGACCCCTACTTTTCGTAATATATATAAATGATTTGAATAAAGCTTCCAACCTTATAAGTATCATGTACGCAGATGATACCAACCTATTTCTCTCAAGCAGTAATATATATGAACTCTTTACCACTATGAATAAAGAACTAAAACATATATTAAACTGGTTTAAATATAATAATCTAACTTTAAATATTAATAAAACCAAATGGACTCTATTCCATTCGTATGCAAAAAAGCGATTATTACCAACAAACTTGCCACAACTTTATATAGACGAAATTGAAATAATAAAATGATTCCGTTACAAAATTCTTAGGCGTTTATCTCGATGAAAACATCTCCTGGAATCAACATATTAATTATGTTATTACTAAAATTTCAAAAAACATTGGGGTTCTATATAAAGCTCGTAACTACCTTAATAAAAATTTCTTAAGTCAACTTTATTACTCTTTTATCCACAGTTACATAAACTATGCTAACACTGCTTGGGGGAGTAGTGTTAAAAGTAAATTAAAACTTCTTTATCGTCGTCAAAAACATGCGATCCGCATAATTAATTATGCTTATCGTTTTACACATACAAAACCTATTTTTACTGAAATGAGATTATTAAATCTATTTGAGCTCAATGTATTTAAAGTTTTATGTTTTGTATATTTATGAAGAAATAATTTATCCCCTACCGCTTTTAATAATATTTTCAAACTCAAACCCAACAACAAATACCATATGAGAAACATAAATTTTTTAAATGAGCCGTTTTGTCACACAAAATTTAATTAATTTTGCATTGCTTATCGTGGAATCCCAGCCCTATGGAATAATATTGTTCTGCAAAATCTTGATCAACTAACTTCCTTTTATCTTTTCAAGCTCTATCTTAAAATTATGTATTTTTTTTGTATGTTATACTTGTCTTTATTTTGCTTGCTTGTATTTTATAAGGTTCTGACGACAAGATCTTGAGATCTTCTTTCAGATCCTAGCTTATGGTAATTTATATATATGTACATCTATTCATCTGTAAGTGTATATATGCTTATATTTATATGTGAGTGTTTTTCTTATTTCAATTATACTGGTATTGGAATTTTTTTAATTGTAACACCATATATATACGGCATATAATTGTACTGTGACATTTTAGTGTGAGCGAAATTTAAAAAAAAAAAAAAAAGACGTGAAGTGGGGAAGGGAGGAGGGGACACAATTGTCAAGTTCTAAAAAAAGTTTTCTATAGTTATAAAATTTCTAAAAAACAAAATACTTTTAAAAAAACGTAATACTTTTATTTTTTGTTAATCTTATAACTCCCGGGTTCAAGGCCGGTGTGAAGGAAGGTGGGGGTGTGGGGGAATAAATCATTAGTAGAGAAGGGGGTATGTGACTCCTTTACCCCCCCCCCCTTCATCAATGAATTTTTAAATATAATTCTTATATATATATATATATATATATATATATATATATATATATATATATATATATATATATATATATATATATATATATATATATATATATATATATGTATATATATATATATATATATATATATATATATATATATATATATATATATATATATATATATATATATATATATATATATTAGGGTAGCTAAACGCCCCTCATTTTTGAAAATCAAAAGACACTGTTTTCCATATGCTGTGGGTGTACTTTATGATCAATAAAAACGAAAGTTTAACTAATTTGCACAAATTTTAGACCCCGCTCAACGGGCTCAAAGATCAAATTTTCACCACAAAAATTCATATTATGACAGTTTAAACACCCTTAAAAAATTAAAAGGCTCTGTTTTTATTTAATTTTGGAGATCTTTATGATCATTTTAAGCTTAATCTCATTATAATTCAATAAGATTTAGACCCTGCTCAAGCATTTTGGCTGACCTGGTTTCTTTAAAAAAAAAACGGTTTCTATAACATTTTCCGAATTGCCGCGGCAAACTAACCGGCGCCGGTTTGTTTATTTGATTAAGATTGTTAATCTCTAAAACTAAATAAAAGCGAGTGGCTAAACAAATTTTTTGCTTATATGTAATACTAAACTTTATCTTTTATTTTAAAAATTTAGAAAAGGTGGGGGGGGGGGGGATTTTGTCCTTTCCTTCCCTAACTTTTGATCCTCCTCAACCCTTTTCTCATTACTAAAACTAGTTAAAAATAAACAGTTAATACCAAAAAAAAAAGGGACAAGAAGTTGTGTGTATTTTTTCAAAAAATTAAACTAAAAGTTATCCTTATATTTCTTCCGAAAACCAGTAACAGTGCTTTTTTCACATCTAATTTTATTAAAATAAACAATAAACATTCAAAAAATGATGTGCGCATATAGAATTTAGTAATATGTTTTAAAAACCCATTAAAAACTTATTCTGCAATATTTACATTGTATACTTGTTTTATTCTTTTTTGTTAGTCATTTTTACGGTGTAGCACCTAAAAAAAATCTCCAAAATAAATAACCGCGGGCCCCAAAAATCTGCCACTGGATACAGTTACATGCAAATTTACCCTTTGTAAATGTAACCTTGGAGGGTGTAACTTTCTTAAACATATCGGTGTTATTTCTATACTAAAAAAACTAAGGAAAAGAAGTTTAATCTTAGTAGTAGCAGGTCAATATATTAATTAAACTGCATATAATTGGGTGGTGTGTCATGTAACTTATGTTTTGATGGCATTATCTATAAATAGAAAACATCAACGCACATCTCATCTAAAGTCTTATAATAAAGTAATATAATTCTTATTATATTCATTTGTTTAAAGAAATTTATGTAAGAGATTATACCGAAGAGATTTAATAAATTATTATTAAAGCTCCTTGAATTATACGCAGTTTAATTTACCTAGTATATTGCCCAGCTATATTCGGAAACTTCTTTTCCAGATTTTCATTAGTGAAGAAACAATGCGATTAAAAAAATAACAACCTTTAAATTATAAATTTAAAACTGCTATGGGAGAAATTTGCATATACAGTCCCGTTAAGTTGGATTCTCAAGGGGAATTGATAAATCGTCTGACTTAACGAATGGCCTACTTAATCAAAGCTCTTGGTATGTACAGAGTTCAAAGGGAGTTGAAAATCTGTCCGGCTTTTGTATACAATTTAAAAATAAAAAATTTTACTTTTTATTTTTAAATTTTATACAAAGTAAATTTGCAGAACTCGTTCTAAGTAAATTTGCAGAACTCGTAATAAGTTAATAATATTAACAAAATTTATTTACATACTGTTATATAGACATCATTTTTTAACTTAAACAAAACACAAACAAAAACATAATTGAGGGACTGCGACTCCGTACTTTTACATTAAAAAAATATGGAAAAAGTGTGTAGGGGGCATATCCTCTACCTCTTCCTAAACCCTCCAAACAACTATGATCTTATTTAATATAATGATATTATTTGTTAGTAATTTGTTTATGCTAAAAAATTAAAAATAAAAAGCCCCCTCCCCCCCTCCTCCAAAAAAAAAAAAAAGATTCGTCATCTTAATATAAAAAACAAATGGCAGTTTTAAAAATGTTGTAGAAACCGGGTGTTTTTTTAAGAAACCAGGTCAGAAATTTAGTCCTTTTAATGCTTGTATGTAGCCTAAATCTAATTGAATTACAATAAGATTAGGCTTAAAATGATCATAAACCTCTGGAAAACCAGATAAAAAAAATTATTACTTTATTTTAATTTGTAAAGGGTGTTTAACCTGTCAAAATGCAAATTTTTATAGCGAAAATGTAATCTTTGAGCCCGTTGAGCGGGGTCTAAAAACTCTGCAAACAAGGTGAATTTTGTTTTTTATTGATCACAGAGTGCACCCACAGCATATGAAAACAGTGCCTTTTGATTTTCAAAAATGAGGGGCGTTTAGCCCACCCTAATATAAATATATATATATATATATATATATATATATATATATATATATATATATATATATATATATATATATATATATATATATATATATATATATATATACGTGTATGTGTGTGTGTGTGTGTGTGTGTGTGTGTGTGTGTGTGTGTGTGTGAAGGGTGCAAGGGAAGAACAGGGATTGTCAGTTTTTTGAATTGCAAAACGTATTTCTTTACCAAGGTTGGTTTTTAGCAATTTAACCTGTCGTTTCTTTTCACAAACCGCAACTTATTTTATCCCAGCAGATCTATAAAAAATTGTTTTTTAAATGTCAAAATTAAATTTTATTTAGTACATGGTGATCTTATTCAAACGTACAAAATACCTATTTTGCAGACTAAATGCCAGCAGGTATAAATTAATTGATTATCATTTTTATGTTAAAAATTATCATTACCCCAGCGGGATAATAATAACTTTTATTTTATCAAGCATAAAAGAAAAATCCATTACATATGTAATTAAAAAGCAAGTTAACATCAACAAATATAAAAGAAACCAAATAATATGAATAATAAGCAAATGTATAAAATCCATTCAAAGAAATACATTGTCAAAATGTCAAAAAGGGACTAGAAACTAGTTTAAATTTTAAAATTCAACTTCCTCTTCTTCATCTAAGTCAGAGTAGTTATTTCCACAAAGGCGATTGATTCTCTCTTTGATATGAAAGACAGCCATAAAATTAACTGATTCTGTGACAATAGAATAGCCTGTTCCAGCTCTTTCTAAAAAGTATTTTATCTGGATGTTTTTTAGAAATTATAACTTCTCGAAGTGTCTGGGTTTTAATTTGGGAAGTTGTGACAAAGAAAGGTTTAATGTATTTTTCTATATTTAGCAACATGGTGTATTCTACTGGAATTATGCAAAAAGGAAAAGGTGTTTTTCTGGCATTTTCAAAGTGCCTAAGCCAGCTGAATGGTAAGTCTATATGAAGCTTTTGATTTATCAGAATCTTATTTCGATCACACTCCATATAAGAATGTCCTCTGATGGGAAAAGTTTAATATTTTAAAATCTATTTTTCTGGTGGACCATGTAGTGCAAAAACTTCATAGTCCAATTTTTGTTCTGTCTAGGACACGAGTCACTAAAGAGTTGAAGATGAGTGGCTTCTGAAGGCAATATTTGAGTAAAGTAGTGCAGCAACATTGATGCTACATCATTAGAACCTTTTTCCAACTGTCTCAATGTAGGAAAAAAGGGAAACCTCATTAGTTCCAAGGTTATGAATGTTAAAAGTGTACAGAGAAAGTTTTCTTCTGTAATATGAGTTATATTAGGACAAGAAAGTAATATTGTTTGTTATATTAGGACGAGGAAGATTCTTCCAAAAATCAAAGGCAACTGCAGCACACCAGGTTAAAAAGTGTGCTCCGTGTATAGAAGCAGTTTTTCTTTCATAAAATACTTGTCCTTTTCTCCAGTGAAACTCTCGATCAACTAAAAGTTTTTGTAGATCATGTTAAGAGTTACTTTTTGGCAACTATATTTTAAATCTATCACATGTTAAACAAGTATCCTTTCTTTTGTACCCAAAAGCAATAATAAATTTTTCAGTAAAGATTCGTCTATTTAAAAAAAGAAAAAATACTAGTAAAACTTCATATTAAAGTTTTAAAAATTTTCTTAAAATAATATTTATATTTAAAAAAATAATAAACATAATATTTATATTTAAAAAAATCATTCAGAATAACGAAAAATTTTTAAAATTTTAAATAAAATAATGACTTTATAATGCTATAATAAATTGATTATTTACTTTTTATCTTCTGAAAGTGAAACAAAATAAACAAAATGTAACTTTCTCTGGAACATGATTCACCAGAGTGGCTTTCTAAGTACATTGGATGCATTTTGCTAAGATTTAAATCTTCTGCAAGATACAGTTTCCTAGAATCTTTGAGAAAGTAATGAGACTTTTGTCCTCTAAAAGATCGAATATGATAATACTATCGTAGTTCTCTTGTGCAAATTTGCAAGGTTGGTTTATATGTTTTCCTCTTTGGTCCTTGGGTGGTATTCCTGTAAATAAAATAAATATGTTCTACACAAAATCCAAACGCAAAGCTAACCAACTCCAAAATTATGTAGAAACTCTGTGTGGAAAACGAATGTTACAACATGATTCTCGTTATATGTAATAATTAAGGTAACAAGGATACAAATTTCTATTTTATTTCAAAATAGTTTACAAATTGGAATGTCAAAAATATTCTTATTGGTTAATAATAGTATATTAGACCATAAGCTTATGACCATATTTTGAATCGAAAGCGTGTGTTCATACTATATGACAACATTATTTAAATATAAACATATGACATATGTTTATATTTAATGTAGTTATTGACCATTTACAGGGTGTCCTAGGGAAAATTTCAAATTCGTAAAGGCTATAAAGAAAAACGGCTTGATAGATTTTCAATAAAATTTGCTTTATTTGAAAAGTTGTTTCATGACATATATTTATGGAAAATAATTTTATTCAAATTTCCACCACGACTGACTTGGCAGTACCCCATTCGATCAACCCAATTTTTCAGTACGTTCTTGATTGTTTCCGGCCGAATTGCAACAATAGCAGCTTCAATTTTATTTTTCAACTGGCCAATCGTTTCTGGATGCTTGGTTTAACATACCTCTTTGACCGCTCTCCAAAAAAAGTAGTCTAACAGTGTCAGATCGCAGCTTCTTGGCGGCCAATTCACATCACCATTTTTGCTGATTATTCGATTTTCAAAGACAGTGCGCAGAAGGTTGATTGTAACGTGGACTGTATGACACATAGCACCATCTTGTTGAAACCAAGTATCGTGAAAGTCTTCGGTTTCAATTTGGTCAAAAAAATAATCAGATAACATGGCACGATAGCGCTCACCATTAACGGTTACTGTAGCTCCTGCCTCTTTTTCAAAGAAAAATGGGTCAATGATGCAGCCTGACCAAATACCACACCAAAAAGTCACTCTTTATGGATGCATTGGCTTCTCCTTAATAACATTCGAGTTTTCGCTTCCCCAAATGCGACAGTTTTGTTTATTAGCATAACCATCGAGGTGGAAATGAGCTTTGTCTGAGAAAATGATTTTTCGGTAAAATTCAGGGTCTTCTTCCAAACAATCTTGTGCCCAATTTGCAAAGCGTAGACGGCTGGGATGGTCGATTGGCTTTAGCTGATGCATTAATTGACCTTTGTATGCCTTCAAAGCAACATCTTTACATAAAATTTGGTGCAAAGTTGACAGTGAAAGATTTAACTCTTGAGTTCAATAATGAATCGATATTGATGGAGGTTCACGAACACTATCACTCACAGCGGCAATATTTTCGGTTGATCTTGCTGGAAATGGACGTTTACGTGTTGTTTTATCCACTAGTAAACCAGTTTCACAACTCGATTTAAAAATTGTCGTAGAAATGCCTCTGAAGGCACGTCTATTTTTTCTAATTTTTTTTTTTTAATTTTTCACAGTTTGCGTTGGAGACTCGCCACTTTGGAAATAAGTTTTTAATATTTCCCAACTTTGTTCAAGCAAATAGCGACCCATTTCTTAAATATCAGACTTTATACTAAATTTTTACTGTATTTTTTTATGACGTTTGACATTTCAAATGTCAAATAATCGTTAGTTCAAATTCGAAACACTAGATAGTACACCCTGTACTTGTCAATAAATAAGATTAAAAACAATATTTACCGAATTTACCGGTAATAAAATTATGCATTTCAACTTAATTTTCAGGTAACCCGGTATTGCAATTGCGGTATTACACTTTAAGCCATCTGAAATATGTTTTAATTTTTAAAATTAGGTGTCTCTCTTTAGAGTAATGCGCTAATTTGAGTATCTCTGAGCATCTATAACACAATAAAAAGAACACCAAGTAAACCAGTCTACTCATCTGGTATAAGAGCACTAATACATAACATATTTGTTTGTAATGCGCCTACACATAGTGTGCTATCATTACTCCATAAAATTGGAAAGCATAATGGCTATCAGTATACTGAAATTTCACACTGCACAATTTTGGATTAGATGATTTGTGAGCTTTTATGGCTTTATTATGTTTATATATAAATATATTTATTTTAAGTATCTATGAATTGTGTGCCCATAAGTTAATTGGAAAGCTACTGATTGGTCCATGGGTGACAAAGTTTGAAGTTTAAGGATTTGACTACATTTCTGGTATTCAAGTTGTCAAAGATGTTTGCATTACTCTTGTTAAGATAAATTCAACAAAAATCAGACTTTTTTTTTGAAGATTTTGATTCTTTTATTTGCTTTTATCCGCAAACTGATAAAAAAAAAATTGGGAAAAAAAAAGAGAGAAGAATTAGTTTGCTACCTAAACGCAGCTGACTAATACTTCTTTTAATGCTGTCAGGGCCGTCTACTAGCAACACTAGCAAGGGCTCCCAGGCACAATAATCAATAGTTATCACTATATATGTATTGATGGTTAGTGGGGGGGGGGGGGGTTGGTGGTTAGTGGTGGTTAGTGGAGGATTGGTTGTTAGTGGTGGAAAATAAAAAGACATATTTGAAAAGCGTGAAAAGTAAAATTCATTTATTAATATTATTTTTTTTAGTACATAAACATATGAAGCTCCGATATACATATCTTTATATTATTACAACTAAAATGATTTATAATAGGTGAGACCGGGGCTAGTTGATAACAGGGAAAAATTGACGAACTGCGTATATCTTGAGAGCCTTTCATCAAAAAGTGCCAAAAATTACATAGAACCTTCCTAATTGACCATTTCATCATTCACTGAGTATTGTTAGGATTTTCACATGCGCATGGAAAATATTTTAGGATTTATGAGTTTTTTGGACTATAACGTATCTTTTTGAACGTCGCTCCTCGTGAAAAGTCTGAAAAAAAAAATTGTAAAAGTTTTAGTCACAGTTGGTTTACTATTTCCCGTCAGATTTTTTTTCAATAGTTTTTTTTAGGATCTACAGATTTTTTAGGATCTATAGACTGTTTATTGAAAAAAAGACTTTTGGAATAAGTTGAGAAAAATTTTCACGGGGCTAGTTGCCTTATAGCAATATCAATATATATTAAAGCATATCGCTTTAATATTTACACAAAATTTTACTGTTAAGGCTACAGAGTTCAAAGAGTAAAAATTAAGGTAACTAGTCTCAATCTCCCCAATCTTTTATATTTTTGCATCTTGTGATATGTTTCAATAAGTATTAACTTATCGACTGTTTCAAATGTTAAAAAAGTTAAATTGGAACTGGAACCTAGTCATAAGGAACTCGCAAAAGACTGAAATTTTGTCATCTAATATTTAATGTAATTTAATAAATACAAACACAATTGTTTATTAAAATAGTTAATCACGAGCTTCTTATTACCAAATCATCAATCCTTCCTAAATGACTTATTTCCTGGATTGTACCTATAGACCAGATAGAATCTAATTTATGTTAACGGCATAGCAACAGAATGGCAACCTATGGAAGCTGGATTCATTTAAGGCAGTGCACTCGAACCCGTTCTTTTTAAACTCTTCATACTTAATATAAACGATATATTTGACTGCAATACAGAACTGTACAATTTACTAATGGCATCCTTGCATACATTGTTGGAGACTTAGCCATCTTAACCATACCACAGAAAATTTTGAAACAAAGTTAATAACTGTTGCATCAAAAACAAAATGTTATTAAACATAACAAATTTCAAAATCATGAGCATACCTAGTAACAAACTTGATACAGGCCGCTAATTTTTTCTATCAACTCCAAATCTCTCAAATATGTAACATCATATAAATACCTAGGATTGGATTTATATATAAAAATAAACACCGACCAACAATGGTAGCGAATCAAGCCCAAATTATCCTCACCTCAGTACCTAATTTGAAATCTAAAAAAACTAGGCTTTCATAGCGAAATACTAGTAACAATATATTGAAACATTGGATTATGTCAATTTATCAATAGTGCACCGTTACTGTGTGCTAGTAGTATCAAAATAAAGCACGAAAAACAGCAAACACATCTAAAAACGTTAAAATATATAGGTTTTAGTCCAGAAATGGCTAGAACAAAATTATAACATTGAAAACCCCAATGAATACATTGAAAATATATGTATAAAAATCCTAAAACAAATTCTATGAAACCCAAATCATCCGCTTAAAATAAAGACAAAAAAAGAAATCTAAAAAAGCATAAGACAAAATATCAACGAAACTCTCCGGTTCAAGATTTATCTAGATGAAGGGTGATCTGCAAATACAACTTACATATAGTTTTACCCAACGAACATTGCGTATTTATGTATGTAAAAATTGTGTAACTTCTAAACTTTTAAACCATTGAATTTAATAAAAATCTACAAACTTAATTTTCGTCCTTAT